GATAAGATCATTTGGCATAAAGAAAATTAAAAAATGCACGAGTGAATTCTATTTGGCCTAAGTTCAACCATGGTGTCATGAAATATGTTCCTCACGCAAGTTTCAGGTCATGATTTTCACTCCAATATTAACTTGGGCCCACAAGCACATGTGCAACTCCTTTGTGAACCAAAAACACGTGCAAACAAACACAAAACGACTTATTTTCATCCTCAATTCACACATTTCATGTTGCATTTCACATGGATTGCAAAACACCAAAACGCAACCCTAACTCACACGAATTGTTCACAGTCACACTTACCATGACCTCACTTCATTTCCAAGATTTGATAGCCAAAGAAACTCTAAAACCATTGAGCTCGAAACCTCTAAAAAACCAGAGATCTGAACTTCCAAATCAAACATTTTTCAACTTGTTTCTTTGCCCATAATCACTCATCGGCCTCCTCTGAAGCTATCTAAAGCATTGTCGTGGCTTGAAACCTCATGTAACCTTTAACTCGATTACATCGTTGTTGACCTTTGAAGCTTAAAATAAAAAGGTAGTTACAAGTAACATTTTTGAGCAAACAAGTTACTAGTGTGTTCGTCTTGTTCCACTAATCAAAAGTCCTAAATTACCTGGAATTTATCTTTTTATTTAGTCATTTAATTTTACTTTGAAGAACTAGGATTATTCACGTTTTTGAGCAAATTCTCTATGCTCAGAGCAAATCAATTGCTCTGATGCAAAGAAACATGAATGATGACTTGAGTGGAAGCTTGCACGTTTGGTGTTTGAGCTTAAAACTCAAAGTTCACGATTCTGCGCAATCGAACTAAGGTTGAAGATGAAGCTGAGATGCATGCGTTTTGGTGCTAAATTTGAATTCCAGCCAATAATGACCTGACACGTAGCTAGCCGTTATTATTTTTTATTTCAAATTATTTTTATATTCTATTTTATTTTCTAATTCATTTAAATAGCTCCCTTATCCTTTTTGACTCCAATTTTTTTTCCATAAATTCATAAAAATATTTTTTTTATCACATATATTATTTTTTCATAAGTTTTAAAAATAAGTTTGCATTTAATTGATATTTTCTTCTATTTTCCATTTAATTTTTATTTTAGATTTTATTTTTAATCATTTTCAAATATGTTTGCATTCAACTTTTAAGATTCACTTATTCATATTTTTCTTGACTTCTCATAATTTTCTCAACCATTTATTTTACCTTTTGGTGCATCTCTTGAATTTTCTATTTAATTTCCATTTTTAATCATTTTAAAAATCATTTTTATTCATATTTTTGAATATTTGGATTTGGCACTTGATGAGTGTTTGGTTGATCGTGTCTTCAACATCTCAAATCTTTGATTGATGATCTGTTGGTTGATTCAATCTTTTCTGGTTCAAACATTTTAACAAATGATCATCTGGTCATTTTTGATACTTTGCATCAGAGATAGGTTATACTTATCCCTTATGTGATCATACTTTGAGACTTTGGTTTGTTGATAGTTGATCCATACATGATGGCCTTTATCTCTCTTCTTCTTTTGTTTTTAACTATTGAGTTACATTGTTTTAGGAGACTAAGTTTGTGTTAGTTCTCTAACATGTTTGACACATAAATTGTTATTGACCATCCTCAGATAGGTGTGACTTCTACATAAGTCCACTTACGATTGCATAACATAGCACTAAATTGTCCCGATTCGATTAAATTCTCATTAACACTAACATTGACATATTAATTGTGCTAACATCTAACATTTATTTTGTACTCTTTACATTTATGTCATTTACACTTTTATGTCCTTTACATTCATGCCACTTTTACATTCTTGCCTTTTACTTTTTCTCTTTATTTTATGCTTATTGCTTGCTTATTTCAAAAGAAAAAAAATCATAAAATGGCTAAAAACCTAAAAAACTTTAATTTGATCTCTTGGACTTTGTGTTATTATCCCTTGTTTGTGAAGTATTTTAGAACTTAGACATTAGAACTTAGTGCTTTTCTTTTGTTTGGAGTGGTATCTAAGACCTAGTGATTCATCTGAGACATAGTGCTTCATCTGAGACCTTTTGAACTTCAATTCAAGACTGGGAGACTCTTTATGGCTCAGTGACCTTAGTTGTCCATCTGATTTTTTCTTTGATATTCAACTGTGCCTATTGCTTGTTCATCTTGTGGTTCAATCCAAAGGGAAATGAATGCTTGTTTTGACCAATGTCAAATGCTTGCCCTTTCTTGTGGTTAGTACACTTGCACACACAAAGGCTTTCTCTTGGGCTACCTTATAATGAGACCATTTACTTTTTGCTTTAGGATAATATTTTCATCTCCTTCCCACTTCTTAAAATTTCAAAACTTCTTCCTATTTCAAAAACTTCTTGTTTTCAACTTCACATATTTTCTTAATAAACCTTGACTTTGTCAAGTGATCCAGAAAATATTTTTCTTAATAAATGCTAAAACACTTAAGCATATTCAAACTCTTTTCAAACTCTAAAAAGACAAACCTCATCAAAATTCTTTTTGTGCCTTTGTGAACTTTTATCTAAGAGCCTTTTTTATTTCAAAAGATTGGATATTATTATATTCTTGCAGTGATGCAAACCATTATACTTCTACAAAATATTGAAAAATGATTAACATTTTCCACTTGAATGTTGAAATATACTTGTGAGAAAGTCCAAGTAAAAGTTCTCTGTATCAAGATGATTCAAATGTTCACTTCCTCATGTTTGTGGGTAGTAAGTTGATTTTTCCGCTCGAATACGAAAAAATATCTTTTATCAATCAACAAACAACAACCTAACTTTTTTATAAACACAGATCAAGTGGTTCTCGTTGCGTACAACATATGGGAGGGATGTTAATACATTCCTTCTGCATAACGAACCCCCGTATCCATATCTCTCTTTTTGTTTTTTGTTTTTGTTTTTGTGGGTTTTGTTTGACCTTTTCCTTTTTCTCTTTGGAAACAATAAAGTTCGGTGGCGACTCTTTCTTTTCGAGTTAAATTAATCAATAACTTAATCTCAACAATTTTTCCCGCCACGACACACGGTAAGTGAATTATGCAAAATTTTAACATGAAATTGTTATTTTGTATCTTGGCGAACATGAATAATTTGTTAGTTTATATTAAGTTCTATTTCATTTATTTTTTTAACAGATTTGCAGTTGATCGAGGAAGAGATGAAAAATTTGACACTTATTGAAATTGAGAATTTATTGCAAGCTAATCGAAGAAGTTTGCATTAATTTAAAGGTATGCCTTATCCATATTCATATGTCACAAGGCACATTGACAACATATTGATTTATGATGAACATGATTACAATGCTGATACTGAACGACAAAAATTCTATGATTTTTTTCGTACACTTACAAGTAATTAAATTTACTAGCATTATAATTTTATGTCCAAATTATATTAGGAAGAGACATTTTTGGAATTTTTAATGTTAGTACTTACATTACAATTGATAGACGAACAAGATTCAATTTTTGATAAAATCATGGAAACTGTCAAAAATCAAAGAGGAGAGGTGTTTTTTACATGGTTATGGAAGGACTGGTAAAACTTTTATGTGGAGAACTCTATCAAGTGCATTATGTTTGCAGAAAAAATTGTTCTTACTATTTCTTCAAGTGGGATTGCTTAGTTATTATTGTCAGGTGAAAGAACAACAGACTCAAAGTTCAAAATACTTGTGCCAACAACCTGACAACTCTACTTGTAACATTGAAAAAAACAATGAACATTCACACTTATTGGAAGCAACTGATTTGATAATATGGGATGAAACACCTATGTCTCATAAAAACGACTTTGAGGCTTTGGATAAAACCCTTAAAGATATGATGAGTTGTCAAGGTCTTGAGAATACAATATTTGGTGGTAAAGTTGTTGTTTTTGGAGGAGATTTGAGACATATTCTCCATGTTGTTCCAAAAGAAAGTCGCTTTGATATAATCCATGTTTCTATTAGCTCATTTTATGTATGAGACTATTGTCAGGTTTTAACCCTAACAAAAAGTATGAGACTTCAACAAGGTTCAGGGAATACAAGTTCTATAGAGCGGGTTGGATTTTCAAAATGGATTTTAGATATGGGGGATGGTAAGATTTGTGAACCAAATGATGGTTTGATAGATATAGAAGTTCCTCAAGAGCTATTAATTTTAAGTTTTAAGGACCCTATAAAGGCAATTGTTGAGAGCACATATCTCAATCTGTTAGAAAATTACAAAAAAGAAGAATTTTTACAATGCAGAGCTATTCTTGCTTCATCCATTGAAGTAGTGGACAAAATCAACCATTATGTGTTGGAATTGATTCCAGGTAAAAAAGTGTTAAGTTACATTAATTTATACATTTAACAATTTTTTATATCAAATTTTGTTACTAATATTTTAATGCTTTAATTTTATACCCTTTTTTTTAGGAGTATAGAAAAAATATCTAAGTTCTGATTCAATTGATAGAACGAAAGCCAATTATAATAAAGCCTATGAAGTTCTAACTCCAGAATTTATGAGTTTTCTGAGAACGTCAGGTCTACCAAATCACATGATCAAATTGAAAGTTGGAACCCCTATTATGCTAATGAGAAATTTAGAACAAACCGAAAAGTTGTGTAATGGAATAAGATTAATTGTGGCAAAGTTAGCCAATCACGTCATTGAGGCACAAATTATGTCTAAAAAGAACATTAGTAATATAATTCACATTCCCCAAATGTGTATTTCACCTTTTAAATCACCTTGGCCATTTAAGTTGATCAAAAGACAATTTCTAATCAATGTCTCATCCGCAATGACAATAAATAAATCTCAATGTCAATCGGTTAATACTGTAAAATTGTATTTTACTACTCAGGTTTTTAGTCATAACCAATAGTATCTAGCAATTTCTAGAGTTAAGAATAAGAGTGATATGATATATTACTTTCTCTTGCACATTTACATACAATATTTCTGTCTTCGATTTTGAGAAATGGGGGGCAAAAACAAGAAGAGAAAGAGAGAAGAAATTCGACCCACCATTCACCCCAACAACAAGTACTCTGAAAACCCACCTGATTTCGCTCATTTAGCTTCTCTCTACCCATCCTTCCAACCTTTTGTTCAACACTCTCATAACGGCTACCCTAGAATCGATTGGACCGATTTCAACGCCACTCGCGAACTCACCCGTGTCTTACTCCTCCATGATCACTCTCTCTACTGGTATTTTCCATTTCATAGCCTTTTCTTATTCTTAACCTAAAAAATATCTATTTTCCATTATGGGTCATCTTGTGTTTGCATTATACTAGGTGGATTCCTGATGGACAGCTCTGTCCCACTGTACCCAATAGGTCTAATTACATTCATTGGCTTCAAGATCTTCTCTCATCGAACATCATTCCAAACACCATTTCATGTGGTGATAATTGTAAGGTTAGAGGATTTGATATAGGAACTGGAGCCAATTGCATTTATCCACTTCTCGGTTCATCCCTTTTGGGGTGGAGTTTTGTAGGCTCAGGTGTGTATGTTGTTGTTTTAGTTTTTATCTTGGGGTGGATATGAAAATATAATAAAAATTAGATTTTTTTTTAAGTTTGCTTAATTGGGTGCAGATGTAACGGATGTTGCGATTGAGTGGGCAGAGAGAAATGTTAATAGTAATTCACATGTGTCTGAGTTGATTGAAATTAGGAGGGTGCAAAGCAATGCAACTAGTTCCTGTGTGGAAGGGTTGTTGCAGGATGAAGAGTCGCCGGTCCTTAGTGGCACGGAGGTAGAGCCTTTACCAAAATTGCCTCTTGATTTGAATGCATGTGAGAATAAGAATTATGATGGGCCGCCCATACTTGTTGGTGTAGTCAGGGATGATGAGAAGTTTGATTTTTGCATGTGTAATCCTCCATTTTTTGAAAGCTTGGAGGAAGCGGGACTTAATCCCAAAACGGCTTGTGGTGGCACTTCTGAAGAAATGGTTTGCTCTGGTGGGGAGAAGGCCTTCATTACTCGCATTATTGAAGATAGTACTCAACTGAAACATCAGTTTAGGTATTATTTTTTGGCCAATTCTATGGGGCGCATGTGAGATAAGTGTCGCATTATGCACAAGTTAGTTTCCACTATTGGATCAACAAATCCCACCATTAGATCAAATGCGATGGGACTTCTTGATCCAATAGTAAAAAACACACTTGTGCATGGTGCAAGACTATTTTACCTGTGCACATTAGACAAAGCCTCATTTTTAAAATATGGATAGCATTATGTTTCTTATGTTTTAAGTGTTGATATTTACTTGTATCAAATTTGTGTTCATTTGTTTCAATGCCTTCATAGGTGGTTCACTTCAATGATAGGTAGAAAATCAAACCTCAAGTGCCTTACATCAAAACTTTGGGAAGTTGGAGTCACTGTAGTGAAGACAACTGAATTTGTTCAGGGCAGGACATCCCGATGGGGGCTTGCTTGGTCTTTCTTGCCTATTGTGAAACAGAAGTCATCGATTTCTTTGCCAAACAAGAATACCATGTCCTTCATGCTTGAGGTTTAGTATCTAACATTGAGCAATGCTAGCACCACACTCTTTCCAAAACTCTATCATTGACCACATTGGTTTATGTTATTATACAAATTTACTTTGCAGGGTCTTCAACGCAAGGATGGGGCCATTAATGTGTTGGAAGATGTCAAGTCTTACTTTTCCTTGCATGGTCTCTCCTGCACAATGAACACCTCCTCTTTCACGGTGGATGTAAGGCTAGTTTCTCACATTCTTATCTAATTTCACTGCGATGTCTGTTAAGCGTGAGTGCGATTTTGATAGGTTGTGGCAACAAAGGATGACTGCAATTCAATCTTGAAGAATGAAATGCCCATTATCAATCAATCCACTGATTATCAACCTACAGAGAAAAAGACATCTAATGGATCAAGTGTTAATCTCTCTTGTGATAGATCAAGCCTTCGTATATCGGTATGCTTGCACTCTTTGCCAGCTTGAAATATAATTTTAATCGGCAGATTCATGTTGAACTTAGGTGATTTTCTTTCCAAGCTGCAGGTTTTTCAGCAAATCCCTGGGACACTGTTGGTGAAAGGTTCAGTACAAGATAAGAACAGCCCATTATTAGGTTTTCTCCAAACTGCTTTTCCCAACTATTTTTTTTTCATTATTTTAGTAGCATACTAGAGTTCAACTAATTCTAGAAATAGCTTTGGAGGAATGTATTATTACCATATGTTTGCTGAATTGTCCGTATTGGAATTTTCTGTTTTGTGCTCATGCATATTGACTCGCCATTCTGTTTTAACCTTTGTAAACCAGTCCCTGATATTGATAACTTGATATTCGTAATGGTTAAAGTTCAAAAAGCAATGCCTCTAGAATGAGTGAATAAATTATTTGTTGTGTGTTGTTCTCTTTGCAGGATCATTCTCAGTGATTTTCCACAAACTGGAAGAAGCGCTGCGAAATAAATTTTGTACCAGATCAGTATAGAGTTCTTGTGTATTTGATTTATCATTTGGCATGGTGACTGGATATGTTACATCGAGTCCAACGCTCTCGTGGAGCTGCCATCTAAATATGGTAGCTCAAGAACCTATAGGCCACTGGATACTTTTATGCATAATAATTTTTTATTTTGTGAAATGTCAGTCAATTTCAATGTGTTTTTATTTTGTTATTGATGACTGATTTATTGTCACAAAATGGTTTTTATAGGATATTCACACTGGATATTGAAATCTTCTAGTACTTGTCTCATATGTAAAAGTTCACAAATTCCTAATGTCACAGTCCTCAATTTTACTTCTGTGGTTGGTTGGTCAAGTTTAGGGATGACAACGGGGCGGGGCGGAGACGGTTTTTGTATTCCCCAAACCCGAATTCCAAATAAATCCTTGTTCTCCGTCCCGAACCCCAGCGGGGATGAAAAATTGAACCCCAACCCCATCCCAAATGGGTTCGGGGATTCCCGCCCCCAAACCCAAATCCTGCCTCAAACCTAAATTTTGCCCCGAACCCAAATTTTGCCCCAAACCCAAAACCTGTCCCAATCTTAAGAAATATTAACTTGTATTACAAAAATAAAATACAAACTCGAAGAATTTCAAACATATATTTCGAATTATAAAATACAAACGAAAGTATTAATTCATTAATCATACAATTAATATTTCAAATTAGCAAAACCAAATAATACAAAATATAAAAACTAAATAATACAATATAAATCGATATTACAAACTACCATCCAAACAAACACATAATAAAAAATATTCTACATTCCAAAATACCAACAAAACAATTACATAACTAAGTCAAAAATAGATAAGTGGTCAACACCAATATTGTCTTCTTTCTTTCTCTACATGCTATTCTCCATCTTCAAAGAGAAGTGGAAGAGTTAAAAATATAATGTATGATTTTATAAAAAATATTATGATTTTTTAAAATAATAATAATAATAAACGGGGCGGGTTCGGGTGGGTACTACAGTCCCCATTACCCGCCCCGTCCCCATATTTAAAAATCAGGGAAAACCCAAATTCGAATACAAATTCAGTCAAAGCGGATTTTCTCCGTCAAATTTGGAACGGGTTTGGGCGGGTACCCGTTGGAATGGGTTATATAGCCATGTCTAATCAAGTTACTTCACTTTTTATTTTACTCCTCCAAACACATATTTTCTCTTAGCCGTACAAATGTCTTTATTTTAACGAGTTACCTTAATTTTCAAGAAATATTTGAGTTTCTTAATATTCTTCATCTCAAATTATGTTGATAATTTCTGAGTAACTGTTTCAATCAAATCATTTTATGTAGCAATAATACCGTTAGCATAAACAAGAAGTAAATTATGTACTCCTCTTTTTATATGTTTAAAAAACAAAGTGTGATGTTCTTGGCTTTGCTCACAACATTGTTTATTTGGATTTTCTAAATTATGTTTGAGGGAACTATTTAGTTCATATGAATATTCTTTGATTGACACATTTTGTTGGCTCTCCATCTGAGGAATTAAGGATTTAAAATCAAGTTGAATCTCTATATACCCTTTCTTTTCTAAATTTTCATGAAAAAACACATTTTTAACACTATTGTAATTCCCATCCAGAGTAATTAATAAGAGATAATACGATTTAAATAGTATTCACCTTTGTCACTGGTGTATATATTTCATCGTAATTAATACATTATATTTGAGTATAACTTTTTTTGCCACTAGCCTTGTCTTATAATATCAAAGGCCTTGTCTAATTTGTGCTTTAAAAAAATATAAATTAATTCGCATCCAATTCACTTTTCGTCTCTCTTCCTCTTCAACAATTTCCTAGGTATCATTTTTTCCAAAGCTTTCATTAAGAAATATGAAATCTTTATATGACGATGATAAGATCTCTTTTATCTTTTTTTAAAGCAATAGGTAAATCATTCGGATCCATATCACAAGGATAAAAAATATGAGAATCACTAATAAGAGAATCATTTCTAATATTTGCCTCCAATTTAGGCGATTAAAGTTGTTTTGGAGCAAATTGAATTTATTTTTTCTTTAATACACTATAATTGGTGTCAAATGTGTTGTTTTCTACAAACTAGAAGACAATGGAGGAGCCAAAATTGAACTAAGAGTAGTGATGTAGTGTCAAATGTGTTGATTTCTACAAACTAGAAGACAATGGAGGAATCAACATTGAACTAAGAGTAGTGATGTAGGAAGAATGGTTGCGTGTATCGACATCGGAAATGTTCGACAAACTTTGTGTAAGTTTGCGTCTGATGTCAAAATGACTATTATTATATCTTTCTATATATGAAATCAGCTCATGAATCCAACTCACAATTTTTTTTGTGACCTATGAATTTTTAAGCCATCCGAGTTTGTTTCATGCCAAAAAATAACATTTTACTATTTTACGCAATTTTCTATTTTATTTATGTTTTGGATTAAAAGTCCATTAGGGTTTCTTTATTTCTGCATTTGTTCTGGACCGGCCAAATGCCTAATAAGATAAGGCCCACTCATCTCACCCGCTCTATGGAGCCTAAGTTATAAATGAAGTTATAAAAGAGTTGAGGTAGACAATTTCTAATCTCCATTCTCACTATGATTATCTTGAACCCTAATTTGACTTGAGAGTTGAAGTGCTAACCATGCAGGAACCCCTTGATCCACCATACCAGAGATTAGCAACATTCGTTCAGGATCAACATCTCTATTCAAGATGCATCATGATCGCAACCTTCGATCCAAGAAACCGTATCACCGAATCGTTTACGAAGCTTCATTCCATTGTAGCTTCCGCAATCTTCTCCATTTCTGGTTCCGTAATGGTAAAGTGGTGGCGTCTATGGAATCAACTTCCAATTCTTACGATTTCCATGTGGACAAATCTGATTCTCAGATATGGAACCTAAAAGCATCTCCAGTGAAGAATTCAAGGTTTCACGAAGTTAAGATATAAGATTTGCAACAGTTGGATCCATCGAACTTCGATCCAAATTTGAATGATCGATCATCTCGATATCAAACCGCCGTGAGAAGTCACCAACATATATCCTCAAATCTGGATTTAGATATACAACATTCCAATCGGTCAGACTCAGGTTGAGCTTAGGCTGACCAAGAATCTTAACTTGCAACTCCCTCTGAGGCTTGTCAATAGATCCTCTCAGATCTAGAGTCAGATCCACAAAGCTAGGGTTAATTTAGTTCCATTTCACCTCCAGTCGAGAAACATTCAGGGTCCATACCTCCAAAAGAAGTCCTGAGATAGATCTCCATATATCCGAGCTTAGATTCATCACAGATCTAGGCAAAGACAGAAGAAATCACATCTGAGAGATGTTTATGCACATATGCCGCCATGACCGGTCCATGCATGATGTCCTATCATCGTAAAACCCTCACACAAGATGTCTCATCATCGTAATAACTAGATCCCGGTCCCGAAAGGTTACAAGGTGTTCGAGAATACAGAATGATAAGGGAGTTGCAAGGTGACAGACATCTTGGAGTATGAGGCGACTTAGGGATTAGATGGTCGACTGGGAATCAAATCCGGTGGAGTCTGTGAAAACCACATGGCTCTCCATTGACGTCTAAAGTCTCTAGTACCCCAACAGTGTTCCAAAAGACAGACTATAAGCATGACTATGGTGTAAATCAAGAAGAGGGAAGATAGTTTGGTTACCACAGGTGGCCGAGCATAACTACCAGAGAGATTATTCTTGATACAAAGTCCGAAGGGCAAGTGGGAATTCTACATTGAGATCCTCCAATCCCCGGCCAAACAACCAAGCAAATCAAACACCCCAAGGAGAGTTTGCTAGAATACACCAACTTGTTTTTATGAAGGTATATTTTAGCAACATGCATCTTTGGGTGTATTTATTGAACTTTTAATTATTATTTACTAACCCAGTCCTTCTAAAAGATAAATGTGTATTTTAGCAAATGCATATAGGAAATTCTAACTTACACCCACTTATTTTATAAAAGGAATGTTGTAGCAATATATATGAACCTTAATTTGCATTTAATAATTTTTTAGTTAAAGCTTGCTAAAATACTCCTTCATAAAAACAAGTGGGTGTATCCTAGTAAAATCATATATATATATATATATATATATATATATATATATATATATATATATATATATATATATATATATATATATATATGTGTGTGTGTGTGTGTGTGTGTGTGTGTGTGTGTGTGTGTGTGTGTGTGTGTGTGTGTGTGTGTGTGTGTGTGTGTGTGTGTGTGTGTGTGTGTGTGTGTGTGTGTGTGTGTGTGTATTCTTTTCGCTCTACTTTATGTCTTATTCCCTCTATAGGACACTGAAGTACGAATGCACGCAACAATGAACCGGGGTACAACTAGAGCATTTGCCACCCAAAATAAAGGTTTTAAGGGTGATGTCAGAGACACTTTGTACGTCCAACTACATCAATCAATATCGCACAGTGCCAAACGGCCTTTAAGATTTCGGGGGTGCTGTCCGAGACACATTGCTTATCCGACTACAACAATCAATACCCTACATCGCTGAACATGTTTAAATATTTCAGGGGAGTTGTCGAAGATGTTTTATACGTCCGACTAGAGAAACCAATTCCCTCAGGGGTGCCGTGGGAGACGCTTTACACGTTCGTCTACAACAATTAATTCCCTATAGTCAAAGATTACACACATTTATGTGTAGCTGGCACATCCCTCTTCAGATCTAACCCATCCAAGGGAAATGAGTGGTAGATCCCAGAGACGTCCACCTCGATCCGAGCTTTAATTTGGGGAAAAGGACGGGGATTCTCTACCATTGGTCAGGGAAAGATCCTCTATGTCGCGGAGCGCAGTTAAAAGCATAGCCGCATCTAATTGGTCTCATGCCTTATCCCTATGAGTAAGATTAAAAGAATAATCACATCTAGCCATTCTCATGCTAAATATTTACAAGTGAAATTTAAAGAATAATCGCATCTAACTG